TCTCATAATTATTAGATAGCATCTCATAAAAATGAGATAGCTAAGTCATAATTATGAGATAGGTATCTCATAATTATTAGATAGCATCTCATAAAAATGAGATAGCTAAGTCATAATTATGAGATAGGTATCTCATAATTATTAGATAGCATCTCATAAAAATGAGATAGCTAAGTCATAATTATGAGATAGGTATCTCATAATTATTAGATAGCATCTCATAAAAATGAGATAGCTAAGTCATAATTATGAGATAGCTAAGTCATAATTATGAGATAGCATCTCATAAAAATGAGATAGCTAAGTCATAATTATGAGATAGCTAAGTCATAATTATGAGATAGTATCTCATAATAATGAGATAGCTAAGTCATAATTATGAGATAGCTAAGTCATAATTATGAGATAGTATCTCATAATAATGAGATAGCTAAGTCATAATTATGAGATAGCTAAGTCATAATTATGAGATAGCCAAGTCATAATTATGAGATAGTATCTCATAATAATGAGATAGCTAAGTCATAATTATGAGATAGCTAAGTCATAATTATGATAGAGTATCTTATGAGATAGTATCTCATAATTATGACTTAGCTATGAGACAGCTAAGTCATAATTATGAGATACTATCTCATAATTATGACTTAGCTATCTCATTATAATGAGATACTTTCTCATAATTATGAGATACTATCTCATAATTATGACTTAGCTATCTCATAATTATGAGATAGCTAAGTCATAATTATGACATAGCTAAGTCATAATTATGAGATACTATCTCATAATTATGACTTAGCTATCTCATAATTATGAGATAGCTAAGTCATAATTATGAGTTACAAGTTTAATTTATTTTTATCAGGGTGGCGGAAATGGGCTTCCATACTAAGACTGTAAATAAGTAAAGTGTGAATTATTATATTATTAAATGCCAAATAAGCCTAATCAATCAGCACATGGGTTCAATTAAATTTAAAATATGAACATGAATGATTTATATTTTAACATATGAATTCAGAAAGAACAAATAAAAATACAATTTGATCTTGTCATGTCAAAAAGTAGGAAGAAGCAAATGCTTTTTATTCCTACTCCTGATCACTATTTAGGATTTATATCTGCAGTTGACTTTCTTTGTTTAGCACGTTGTTTGCATTAGTTTCATAGTTACATCTATACACTATATTGCCAAAAGTATTTGCTCACCCATCCAAATGACTGTGCACCGGTGCACAAAGCAAGGTCCCTACAGACATGGATGGCAGAGTCTGGATGAACTTGACTGGCCTGCACAGACAGAAGAACACCTTTGGGATTAATAAGAGCAGAGACTGAGAGCCAGGCCTTCTGTCCAACATCATATGTGACCTGACAAATGTGCTTCTAAAAGAGTGGTCAAAAATCCCCATGAACACACTCCTAAACTTTGTGGACAGCCTTCCCAGAAGAGTTGAAGCTGTTCTAGCTGCAGATTGTGGACCAACATCATACTGATGGATTAGTAATGGGATGTCACTCCTCAAGGCAAGTGAGCGAATACTTTTGGCAATTTAGTGCATTTACATATGTGTCTATACAGATGCATTTTATGGGCATAAACAATCACAGACATAAATATACATAAACGCAAAGAAATAATTTAGTACTAGTAGCCTAAGAACAAAAACATGTGCCCTCGTGATAAAGCCGCTTTTCTGTCCCTATATTTTATGGTGACTGTATTAGTAATAATAACTTTGTTAAATATTGATGATGTACTGATAATGATACTGAATTGCCAGTAATTTATACATTCACCGGTTTTTGTACGTGTCTAAAAAAAAAGTTGTCTCCTTCGAGCCGGATTCGAACCAGCGACCTAAGGATCTCTGTATCAGACCACTACAGTCCTCCGCTCTACCAACTGAGCTATCGAAGGGACACTTGCTGCTGAACCCAAAATCCAGAGACTGAACCACATGTTGGGATTGTTGCACATGATGAGATTGGAGAAATGATCGCGTGTCAAACCTCACGAGTCGTTTAGATATCAGACCAGAGGTTTTATCAGACCACTCACTTCCTTGTTTTGCATGTTTACTTTACGTCGATCTTGCTCCTTATGCAACAGACACGTTTTTTTAAAACAAACTTTGTTTATAACTTTCGTTCAGTACGAAACAAGCTAAAACTAAAAACAAAATCGCTCGAGGCGCGATTTGTAGCGTATGTTAGGGGACATAATCCGACTATTCGTGTGACGTATTTTGACCCCTCTGGCCTCCCACCATCATTGAACACTTTAAATAGTGAATTTATTGTCGTCTGGTTACCAAATATGTTACCCGTTAAATACGTACTTTTTATTTTAAAAAAATATATTTCATTTTTCTTTATCTATGGTTGTATTTTAAATGTAAAGCAAAACATGATCTGTGCAAAAGATGGTACACATCTTAAATGTCCTGTCTGTTCTGCAGCCTGCTGGGACCACCCTGTAGGGGCGGTTCTATGGGCGGGGCCACAGGGGTTTCCTGCTGAAATTTGATTGTCCTTTGCCCAAAAACAATGCTGGGTGCAGTTCCATATCCAAACAATAGAGGCGCTAATGAGCCAAATAGAAAAGTCCAGCATGAATCAAGCTGACAGAAGTCTTCTTTTCTTTTCTTTTCTTCTTTTGAACAATCCTGCAGAAAAGTCTTTCAACTCACAAATGATGGCTCTAACATTGCTATGTTTTTGAGAGTATTTTATCTATATACTGTAAAAATGCATGTAAAATTGGTAAGGGGAATTTGCAAGCTTTTCTACAAGAGTTTAAGCATGTGACTGGTGAAATATATACACCTTAATAAAACCAGGGATTTGTGGGCAAGGATGCTGGAGAAATACTTGGCCCCTCGGCCTATTGTGGCCCCTTACTCAAAAAAACCTTCCACCGGTGGGTCTCTGCTCTCTGGTTATAATACTCTGTAAGTCTAGAGGCTCCCACTGTGACAAGTGCATGATGCGACTGCTTTATGAACACTGCTGCAAACAATTACACAGGGGAACTGTGACTTCTACATCAGTATTTGCATCCCTGGGTCAGAACCAGGACTTAAACACATGTATTAGAAAAATCTAAGAGAAAATAAAGTGATTTATGGGGTGGATGTTCAGCTGGTTCTGGTTTATTAACTTTGAGTGAAGCTCTGATTCTGAGTGGTTTTACCTTTGCGGCACAGTTCAGATGCAGGGGTCCTGCGGGACACAGCAGCTATAGTGAGACAGACGGCACTCGGTGGGGCAGAGGAGCTTTTGTCTGCACTGCAGCACTTGGAGGCTCAGGTCACATCACACTGAGCACTCACCAGCATATACACACACAGCAACGCCACACACACACACAACTGCAGCTGTTTAACATAGAAACCAATCTAGGATGCCCATTGTTATTGTCATAGATTTATTTATTAGAGAAAAAAAGTAATGTTTCAAGTTTACACTGTTCATCTCCCAACTGTTTTGTGTTGCAAAAATATTATGATTGACAAATCCGCCCTGAAGGCATCCTAATCAAAGTCAAACCACCTCATCTGGCTCTGCTCTACTCCAAGCTCCCCCTGGATGATGGAGCTCCTCGCCTCATAGGAGACCAAACAGACATGGCTCTGCTGACCCGGAGAGAGTGTGCCTTGGTGGAGAGACACGTTTCCGCACCATTTGTTGTGAACAGTGGCAGCTCTTTCACTTTCAACCCCTCCATCATGACGTGTGCTGCAGAGGGAGGACTTACTAGGATTTATCTCAAGCAGGTTATATTCAGGTTTGACCAGTCCATGAGAAAAAGACCATCTCAAGCAAGAGACTCTGTCTCCCATCTTGTTTAGGTATAGTAGACCCTTTAGACTGAGCCTACGGAGGACACTCATTTCATCTGAGAGTTTATTCTTCTAATCCAGGAGTGTTTAATCCTGGACCTAAAGGACTACCATCCTGCATGTGTTGGAGAGTTCTCTGCTCCAACACACCTGATCTGAGTGGACGATTGGGCTTCTGCAGAACTTAAAGCACGTAATCACTAGGATCATCATGGAGGTCCTTTCTGACAAGAATTGGACACACACCTGTTCAAATCATAATCCATACCTCATTGTTGATGATGCCTTTTGGCTCATCTCTGTCTTCAAACTGGACTTAACCCTGCCATCACTGCAAACGATGTCCTGAACATGTCGTTCTCAGACAACAACTCACTCCTGACATGAAGGGAAGGTTCAGCATTTTTCAATTGGAAACATCGGTCTCAGACACTTGAAACAGCCAGCGGTGGGCAGCACTAATCTAAAAATTTGTTCCACTAGCCCTAAAACACTAACTCAGATATTTAGGTCCCCTAATTCTAAAGCACTAATGCACTGAAAGTTTTAGCAAAAGCTAATTCTAAAGCACTAAAATAACCCAGTCAACCCATGAACATTGTTCAACAGACAACATGAGTCACATATTGTCATGTTGCTCTCTTAAGACTTATTGATATTCATCAGTCACATTTGAGTTCATATTGTCAATTAGGGGGGCAACAATACATGTACCTGTATCGAACCATACCAAACCGTATCGAACCGTATCGAACAATACAGATTTTAAAAATTTACTTTATCAGCTTGTCTTCTGAAGATGCTCTGTGTTGAAGGATCAGTGGATCTGTGTTCGACTACTCCACCTAGGCTGCATTTTTGAGCACAGATCMACTGAGAAACTTGCTGTTTCAGCAACATTCAATTAAAAAACTGTACTTTTGAGGTTAAACAAATGTTCATAATTAATATAAATAAATTACAAGTTAAAAGGGGCATGGAAATTTCTCTTTTTTGTATCGAAAAAAATATCGAACCGTGAATTTCCTGTATCGTTGCACCCCCATTGTCAATATATTGTCACCTGGTGGATAAGTGACACATATGAACAAAATGTATGACAGCTTTCACCATCAGCTGTTAACATTAATTGTTGATCAATAACATTTATAGACCTCAGTTAGTGCTTCTAAATTTAGCCTATAAATTTAGTAAGTGCTAATCCACCAATAAATTCTAAAATTAGCAAAATCCCTGAAGCACTAATCAGGAAATTAGTTCCCTGATTAGTGCTTTAGTGCTTTAGGGGAACAGTGCCCACCACTGGAAACAGCACTATCAAAACAGTTATATATCAGTGCTTTTGTTACACAGTTGATGATCATAGGTGTCCCTGTCCCATCCCACATCCAGATCAGCCAGATTCCCTTTTAATGAAAACCATTAACACTCACTTTACAGAGGAGTATATAAAGAAAAACACTTCTGATTGGAGTGTGTGTCAGAGAATGAGAGTATGAGATCCTTGATGCTGCTCAGTGTGAGCCAACACCACCTTCACCCATTAAAACTGGACTTTTACAGCACAAACACTGGTGCCATTTGTATCTATTAGGAGACCATTTTAGATCCAACATTGCACAATAAAAATGTCAGGTAGCATTCATTTATTCAGTCCAGTCTTGGCAAGGAAACAGCTCCTAACTGTGAGTGTTTTCTCTCTTTCATTATTTTCTCGCTATCACAGAAAGTCAGACATGATTTTTCTTTTCTCCACTGCTGGGTCTGAGGATGGACAAGTTGTAGCTGGTACCATAATCTGTAAGACTTCTGGTCTAAACTTCAGGCTAAACAACCTGATAAAAAAGGCTGGTTCTGTTCTGGGGACGACTGTGGAATCTCTGGAGATGATGGTGCAAAGAAGGATTTTACATAAAATCAAGAACATTGTGGACAACCCTGACAATCCTCTTCATCAGACTGTCATAGAAAGACAAAGTGTCTTCAGTCGGAGGCTTCTTCAACTTCGCTGTAATACAGACCGCTACAGAAGAGACTGGTCTTGGTGTCGAGACCACTTTTGATGGTCTCTTCTTGTCTCGAACTCAACCTCATGTGTATTTGGTCTTGAACATGGAGGACTCTGGATTTTGTTTGAAGCAACTGTGAAAATATCACTAAATTACCAGAAAACCATAAAAAATTAAGCATTACTACATACAAAAGAACATATAAAAATCCAAACACATTTTTTTTCAAAACAAAAAAAGGAAGTTGTCATTAATAAAAAAAAATCTGTTTTTAATTTTTTTTGGAACAGGGTAAAAATATTAGAAAAAAAATAATTAAATTAGGCTTGTTTTCTGTGACCAATTCTTTCTCCTGGGCCCTCTGTGTTTATGAAGTCTTTAAAGTTTGCCTGAGGTCTTGGTTTGATTGGAAAATCCAGAACAAATGCTCACTGTACATATTCAATCAATCAATCAATCAATCAATCAATCAATCAATCAATCAATCAATCAATCAATCAATCAATCAATCAATCAATCAATCAATCAATCAATCAATCNCAATCAATCAATCAATCAATCAATCAATCAATCAATCAATCAATCAATCAATCAATCAATCAATCAATCAATCAATCAATTTATTTATTTATTAAAAATTGCCTCAAAATTAAAATAAAGCAACAAAATATAGAAATATAAATATTTCATAGCAGTTTGTGTTTTAAAATATAATATATATTATTATCAAGACAGTAACAACGTGTTCAGGAGGGGTGCTCATCTAAACCTTTTTTTTTTGCATAAATTAATTTTTGCATATTTCCTAAAAGCAGAAGACCAAAGTGTAACTGAGTTGGCAACGCTGCATTAGTTATGCTCCTTGTCTGCTGGCTTTATCCTTTGGAGGAAAGAAAATACTACAAAGCTATTGCTCAAAGACAAATGTTTTGCACTGAAACTGATGAAAGTTACTTAAAGGTGTTCAAGCAGGGAAACATACGGTTGTGCTCAGAAGTTTACATCCACTCATCACTGGCATAAACGTCAATCATTTCGAACTTGAGGTTTTTTAATCATTCACTTTCTAGGGTTTAATTATACAAACTGAATGATTTTTAACAAAACAAGAGTTGTGTGCACAAGTTTGAATTTATTGTGGATTTTCTCCAATTCACACAAAGTTAAAATTATACACACAGGCTCAAATCTCACCACTCACCCTCATTATTATTTGGTTAACTGAGAGGCAACAGCTCTGCTAACCACACCACCGTGCCGCCCGGAGTTTCACTTCCTCCTTTGTTATTCTATCCACTTTGTGTAACGCACCAGTGCCACAGCGTAATGCTGCTATCACCACCATGCCTGGTACAATGTTTTTAGGTTTGAAAGTCTAGCATTGAACATATGTCTTGTTGTTGCAGCCAAATAGCTCAATCTTTGTCTTGTCTGACCACAAAGCAGGGCTATTCAACTGATGGCCCGTGGGCCACATCTGGCCTGCAAGTGATCAAAGTTTGGCCCGCCAATTGGTTCATTCATCTCTTAAGCCCAACCACCCGGTTTTCTACGTTAATTACTATAAGTTCTGTTAGTTAAACATAGACATGTTTGGTAATTACAGAAACGTCAGAACCTTGGCTAGAAGCACACTTAAGACAGTTAAAATCACAAGCACTTGAAAATAAAACTATGAAAGTGAAATGAAGTGTGTCAAACAGGAGGCATGATGTGTTCTTTTTGTTTTTGATATTGTCTTATTATCACTACTTTTATAGCTTTCTATGTGTTGTATACATGAATAAATGCAGCAAAATAAACTATTTCAAAGGTAACAGATCTTTGTAACACTTGGTTTATTTGTATAATAATTTAATTGCTGGACATTCGGTCCCTGAGCTGTTGACCTGCAGTAACTGTGGCCCCCAGAGCATTTTAGTTGAATAGCCCTGCCATCAAGGTTTTCTCCAGAAGACATTATGACTTCTTCAGCCAGCTTAGATGTGTGGCTTCTGGAGCAGACATGTCTATTTTGATTTTCTCTATGTAAATCTCATCTTATTTGTTTACTTATTTGAGCTGGTATGTATAGTTTTGACTTTATGGATTAGAGAAAATTTACAATAAATTCAAGTTTGTGCTCCATATTTTTGTTTTTAAATAATATTAGTTACATGTTGTGTATTCATTCCACTCTAGAAAAAGTAGTCTCCAAATCACTCCGATGCTCACGCCCACGACGAGTGAATGTAAACTTTGAGCACAGCTGTAGGTCAGAGAAGTATTGCATATTTGCTGTCAGTCTGAGGAAGTCTGGTGTCGCCGAGTGGCCATCCTCCTCGTGGTTACACGCTTAATAGTCGTCCCCTCGGCTCACTACCTCCTTGCAGGTGGGCCTCAGCAGGATGGTGTGCTCGTACTGGGCCGTGTAGCTGCCCTTGATGTCACAGAGAGGAGGGTACGGGTCGACGATACCCAGGTCGCACAGGTTCTTCAGCGCCATCAGGTACTTGCTCTCACCCAGTCGGTCCAGCCAGCGGCGGCAGAACGCCAGCGTGCCAAAGTTCTCGTTGATCACATTCAGCAGGTGTTTAGCCCTTGGAAGTCTGAAAGCACAGTCAGAAAAAAAAGGCTGAGCATTTATTGAAGGAATGCATTTCACCTGCTGCCTTTCATCCTAGAGTTTTAAAACAAAGTTTATCTTATGCTGAGAAAGGACAAAAGCACACTCATTTGGGTTAAACCTATAAAATATACACAATCTCAGCTACCACCAGACCAAATTTTTGCTCAATATTTGTAAAACTGCTGAGTTATAAACATTTTGTGTCGGCTACTTTTTAAATATCCTGAAAGTTTCATCAAAATTAGTCCAGTGGTTCGAGGGATATTTTGCTAACAGACATGCAGGATTAGCTCCAGTAGTTCATGGCATAGTTTGTGAGTTGTTTTGTCATTTCCCTGCATCAGTTTTACCTTCTGTCACTCTCTGCTCTGGCCCCGCCCACACGTACCTGATCCTTGTTGTTTCTTCCCAGGTGTGGCTCGTTATCCCTCGTTAGTGTCTCTTCATGTTTCTTTTCTGTCGGATCAATGGGCCTCATGCAAGAAAATTTTCTTATTCTTATCCTAAATTTATCTTACTTTAGTTCGTATGAAGGGTTCGTACGAACACGTCACGTCATATTCAACAATCTCTTCTATCTTCAGGAAAAGTGTGTAAATGAGCTGCGTAAACATGATGAATTACACCTGTTCGTATCATGCTGCTCGTGCACGGGGAGAGGTGATTTACATAATTACCACATCAAAAACACTATACGGATATGCGTTTCCTGCCCCACGTGTCCATTCATGATCGACATAGCAAAATAAAAAAGAAAAACTTTAAGAGATCGGAGATTAAGGTCCTGCTCTCAGAGATGGAGAAAAGAAAATCTGTCCTTTTTAGCAGCGTCAGTCGTGGAATTAAAGGGGCTGCTTTAAGGAATGAAATGTGTTGTTATTGTCGTGTCCCCTGTGGGTCGTTACAGTCACAGAATTAAAAATCTAAATCATATTCATCTCTCTGTAGTCCTGCTCCGGTTTTTCTTTGGTCAAGTATTGTAATTTTTCACCTGTATTACTGTGTTTTCATTTATTCAGAAGAAGGGCAGTCGCGCACCGCTACCCCCCACCCAGCTGTAGCAAGTGACAGATGCGTTTCTGAAAAGACACATTTTAAAACGTCTCCAAACTTCAATTACTGCTTAATTTAAGTTGGTTTTTAGTTTGAGATCTTCACATTAATATTGTAGTGTTATACAACAGCATTAAAAGCCAATTTACTTTAATCGATTTATGTCGTTAAAATCTAATTCCAATTCAAACAGAATAACTTGTTGTCAACATAATTATGGAGTGTGATTTATTTTCAACTCAAAATATCTTCAAACTAACGAAATATAAAGTTATTAGCGAAGAAAACCCGTCTGGATAACAGCAGACTGACTGCTCGTAAAATATACGACAGGTCTGGACCACTCGTAAATTTTGTTCGTATCTGAAAAAAATCTTAGAATATGAAAACATTGGTGAATGCCACAAATTCTCCTAAATCACTCGTACGCACAACTTAAGAACAAATCTGTGCGTACGAACGGTTCTTGCATGAGGCCCATTGTTCATCTTATTGCCAGTTTGTTTTGTTTCTCTGTGTATTTCCCAAAGTTTCCCACGTCAGCACTTTATTTGGAATAAATTTGTTTCTTTTGATCCTTGAATCCTGAATTTTAGCTCAATATCTGTGAAACTATCAGTTGGCTGTGGAGGTAAAGATACACATTCAAGCTTGATTAAAATCAGTCCAGAGCAGGGTTATTATAGTTGACAAAAACTAACTAAAAAATGAAAACTGAAATTGTAAAAAAAAAAAACAACAACAAAAAAAAAACATTTTAGTTAACTAAAAATAAATAAAAAGTGCAATACAATGAAAAAACGATAACTAACTAAAACTTTATAATTTTTTTTTTACAAAACTAACCAACATTATAGATAGAATATCCTCAGTTTTAGTGTTTGTCAATTTTTTTTATTTTATGTTTCTTAAATTGAGTAGTTCACATTAGCTTGTGGGCAGCTTACAGCAACTTATGCAACACTTGTCTACAATCTGCTGCTGCTCAGCATTGTCTGCAAAATGAGACAGCAAACGTTGGGAGAAAACAGCAATGTCAACTTTGGGATTTCTTTGAATATGACTGAGAGAAACATACGTAAAAGCAAGTGTCATAATGGAAACAGGTGATAAAACCGGTGGAATAGCTCTCAAGGGAAAAACTTCATGAACCAAGCTCGCACAAGATGGCTATGACTATCTTGACACGCTAACTTCTCTTAGTAGCTCATGTGAAAAACAATCAACAGGGTAGCACCGGGTTGGAGACGAATATTGTCATCGTCCTAAAATAATCACCCACATCCTTAGTTGGCAAAATTGGGTTACGCAATTATTTTAGGAAGGTGTTGCTGTAATGGACTGCTTTAACTAGTGACCAAATAGCTGTTAGTTAGTTAACTAACAGGAAGATCACAAGCTTGAGGATGGCATTGGCAAATATGTTTATTCAAACTATAAAAAACTAATACTAGAGCTAATAAAAACTAAACTAAACTAAAACTAAGCATTAAAAATGCAATAATAACTAATAAAACTAGCAAGTCCACTGTAAAAACTAATTAAAACTGACTGAATAAAAAGAAAAAAAGTCAAAACAAAATAAAACTAAATTACAATGAAAAACCCAAAACTATTATAACCTTGGTCCAGAGTTCATGAGGTATTTTGCTGACAGACATATAAAGACACAGGTAAAAACAGTATCACCCGCCTTTTGCTGATCAATTAAAAACAACCATTCAGGTAAAATCTCAAGCTTAAAATAAAGAACCTTATTGGCACATGTCCAACGTTGAAGTTTTTCATGTAATGGGAACACTCCATGTCATCGTGGACTGCACCTCTGCCAGTGCTGCCGAATGTCTCAATGGCGTAAACTTCACCTTCCTGTCAGGTATGGAGGGGGAGAAAAATCATTTATTATGCTGCTGACATGGAATGAAAAACGGTGGTGAACGTCCTTTAGGGGCAGAACAGAATGTGTGTTATCACTGAAAGGACAAAGACACTGAAGGTGTGTGTGTGTGTCTGTGTGTGTGTGCATGGTGTAAATTTGATAAAAACTTCAAGCCGTCAGTCATTGACGTATTCATGAGAGGTCTAGCATTGGGGGGGAGGGGTTCTTGAATAAAGCCATTTGATTGGCCGTGGTTCATTGACAGTTTGTGTCTCTATCAGAGCGGAGTGGTGTTGGCTGATAACACTGCGACGCCCTCCGCCGCCGCCGCACCGATAATCAGTCAAAGTGCCAGCAGCCCCGCGGCACACCCAGCTGCCGCTCTGAGAGAGAGAGAGAGAGCAGTTACACCAACACGCTTCAACTAAAACTACAATGTACAAAGCTGCAACATCAGCACCCACCCCCCTGCAACCATCAGGTAAAAAGCTTGACGCAGCGACCTGCCAATTAAAAATGCGGCACTTCTTGTCCGAAACCCGGTCGCGTGCTGCAGATGCGTGCCTGCGAGGGGAGCCAAACATCTCGGCGCACTCTTAAAAAGTGCAACCTCTGATTATTTTATGAACTCTGGACGCCCACAATTCTGCGCTCACGTGAAGCTCATGTCATGCCTCTGTGTGAGGCTGTAAATTTAATTAAAGTGCTGATGAGTGTGATTAAGGAGCTGTGAAATGAAACACTTCACAACCAGTTGTAACCCAACCGATTAAATAATTAATGATTTAAACAAAAACATCGGTCCATATCATCATCATATGCCCTGTTTCTTTGGCTACTACTATAGGAGTATGTGTCACTTGAGAAAGAGCTACTACCACCACAAATTTTGGCTCAGTATTTGTAAATTTCCCTAAGCTGTAGCCCTTTTTGGAGTAGAGTAGAGGTCCTGTCACGCTATAATGATTTTATGCCGACTTATGAAAATTTTGTCCAACACTGAGGACGTCTACGTTGAAGATGAAAAATAAAAATCTACTGGAAGTCTTTGAATGTATGCATTCTGTAGTACTAATTGTTTTGAAAAAAATAACTTATCCTCTAAAGTCCCAGATTCTTCTCAGGCCAAGCATCAGTGACCTCTTTTTCTTACCTTAAAATGTCATCAGGTTTTATGATGCCACACTTTATCTTGTGTTTTCTCTCGGACAGTGTTTTACGAACAGGACAATATCTGTTCAGAAGTAATCGTTCTTGTTGTGTTTTTGAGACTGCCTCGTTGCACACATTTTGTACCATTGCCCTGTATGACATGATGTGTGTCTTGCAATTGCAAATAAATCCTGACGACCATTCCACGTAGTACTTTTCATTTTTGGGCCACGTGTTTCTGTCTTGGGGAAATAAAGATTTCCACGACACTAATGATTAGATTGAATATTAGTGGTGTACTGAGCTCAAAATAAATAATTTTTACAAGTACTTGTACAACATCCCCACATTCTCAAAACTTTCAATATCAATATAAATGCTGAGATACTGATATTAATGATCCATTGAGTATGTTACGGTTTACATTTCAAGTGCAAAGTTAGTCAGTTTCATGTTTAAGAAAGATGTAAAAGTTGAAAGAAAATCTTGCTTGTTATTTTTATTTATTTAAAAATGTTGCACCAGTATATATCATGCTGTATATTTGGTTTGATCCAGTCAGAGGGGCTGTAGGTCTATAAGGAAGGACAGCCACCTTGTTCTAAATAAACAAAAAAGTCACTGTGTAATGTTTAAGTTCTAACTCAGTAAGTACTCAAACTGAAGTACTCATACTTACTTTGAGAAAAACTGGCAGTGGTACACCCCTATCAAATAAGTAATTTAGCCATAACAAATTTTTCACAAGTCAACTTGAGTTATTCGAACGTCTTTAAGTCGATTAGAGTGAACTGTTGCCAAAAATTATTATTAAAGTTGTACATGTACAGCTAAGAAATATTTTAAGAGGTCAATTAAAATCTGTCTAGAGGTTCACGAGATATTTTGCTGACAGACAGCGGGAGATAGTTACACAAGGTCAATTGTTTAAACTGGGCTGAATTTCTCCTGTGAACAGCAGCTGCAGGGATTTTGTGACACAAACCTCCATCCTGGTGGCCTCTCCGCCCTTCACAATGGGGACCGTCTTCCCTGAATGGATCCTGTACGGTCCAATCGAGTGGCCGTTGAGGTTTCTGATGGGCTTCACTGCACACAGACCCACACCCAATGAGATTTTGTCTGCAGAGAACGTCACAGAGGCTGTGCATGATGAACCGATACCTTGGTAGGTTTTCCCATCGATCTCCACTTCGTAAGACTCCATCACCTCCTGAATGGTCTCGCCAACATCGCACAGTCGTACATCGATTCCGGCAAACTGCGACAGAGGTTACATTATAAATTACACAACATTACACAGACACAGAGACACGTCTGCGCTTCCTTCTACTTACTGTGAAAATGTCTCAAGTTTACTCTGACTAAAAAAAACACATCTATAGTGATCAGAGCTTGAAGTGGAGGAAAACAGTGCTCCACCTGCCCACCCTTCAGGCACCACCCCCCACCTACAGCCATTTGTCATTATACCAGCAACTAGTAAATTATAAATTAAATACTGTCATATCTGCCTACTGTTAAAAGCATACTTGTACATACTTCTGTAAGCAATCTTTATTTAGTAAAGGATGCATGCAGGGAATAGTGGTATGCTTTTCCTTTCTTTTTTATATTTTGTTTAATTTTTCCCCCCATTTTGTTTCATGGTTTGTGATGCGACCACATTCTTCACTTAAAATATATATTTTGTTATATGGTGAATTATTAACATTTCATCAATCCAATATATAAGTTTTAGGACCTTATATAAACAAGTTTCATATGTTTTGACAAACGTTTTGGTAGAAATACATAAAAAACAAATTTTGTCCCTGTTTATTTTTGTCAAATAATGTTCCTCATGTTTCAAACATGAACTTAGAATCACATTATATTAAAAAGATATCAGACCAAAATATAAAAGTGTTATGTTGCAGTGTAATTTTGTCCCATTTAAACTGATGATGATGATCAATTACACTGGTGTCTGCTGCGTTACTGACGATGACTTAATTTGTACTGGAAATTCATCAGTATGCTGCTTCACTGAGGTGGGGGGTGATAATAGCCACCCCTACAAATCTGCTGTCCCCCTGTCTTATTTCAACTGGATTTTGCGAAGCAGATATGGAAGCTAAAAAAAGCTGCATCACAATCACATGGGCTGTTGCAAAATAAAATGCAGACTCAGTCTTCAGAAACTAAAAAGCAGAAGTGGACTAAATTAGAAATTCAACAAAATAAACAGGAAATTTTCATTTCAGCTGGAAACAAAATAATCTTACTTCATTTTTCACACTGACACACAGCTGCTCTGAGCCATGAACCAGCTCAACAAGAGTAATAAATGAGGTATTTACTGTGTGGATTTAAAAGGTACGGAAGCGTGTTGCTATCAGGCAGGAAAAAAAAATTCCGAGCGCTATCACGTTTTAACGTGATAGTATCTCGTTAAAACGTGATACGTATCTCGTTAAA